TGTAGTTTTCATCATGTGAAGGTCAACCTTCTCGGGAAGAGAAACGAAGGTGTGTGTAGGTATGGACCATCCCAGTTCCTGAGGGACTCCCTAAACATCAAAAAAATAATTCTTTCTGTTGTGGAGTGTTTACTTAATAGAATCAGAGCATTTATAAGTATTGCAGGTATTCCTTAGAAAGGGTTTCTTGTTTGATGTCGTTATTCACAGAGATGTTGCGGTGAGTATTTTCGTGAGTGTGCCGTGTCGTTTTACGGCTACGAAAGGCATTTATCTAAGGTTAATTATTATGGCCTCAACTTGGTATGTAATAACATACTGTATTCAGTTCAATTATTAAATAACTTACTGTAACATTAATTTTTCAAATGAATATGCATTAAACTTTAGCATTATGATTAAGAAAGGAGATATGAACCAAACTTAAATGTTTTCTTAAAAATATTATTCTTACAGATTTCTTATATGTATTTGGACTTGTTTTGGAGATATTTGTGAACTAACTCAAAGTTTAAATTGATAAATTATAATATATCATTAGAATTTAAAGTCAGTAAGCTAAAGATTTGTTTTTGGAATTCCTCCCTTCCTTCTCTCCTCTCCTCTCCTCTCCTCTCCTCCCCTCTCCTCCTCTCTTCTCTCTTCTCTCTTCTTTCTTTTGACAGAGTCTTGGTCTGTCACCCAGGCTGGAGTGCAGTGGCATGATCTCTGCTCACTGCAGCCTGGACATCCTGGGCTCAAGTGATCATCTCATCTCAGCTCTGCCAAGCAACTGGGACTACAGATGTGCATCACCATGCCCAGCTAATCTTTGTATTTTTTTGTAGAGAGGGGGTTTCACCATGTTGGTCAGGCTTTTCTTTTTCTTTCTTTTTTAACTTTCAGAGGGGATATAATTATTTGTGTTCCTGAATATTTATGAATTTTCTTCTAAATTTATGGTTAAAACTATTTATTGTAGAACAGTTTTGGATGGTTTTAGTAATGTCACTAGCATAAGCAGATGCCAGCAAAATGTATTATATCAGTCACACATAAGTAAACTGCTACAGGACTCAAGAAGTAAATTGTGAAGAAAATTTCCTTCTGAGGGAAATATCTCAAATGACATGTTTTTTAATGTTCAACTTTTATTTTAGATATGGGGGCACATGTACAGGCTTGTTACATGGGTATATTGTACCCAGGTAGTGAGCATAGTACCTAATAGTAGTTTTCAAGTTACATTTTATATTTGTAAATAGAATATTTGATTTTATTTTGTGACTTCTACTTTATAGAATCGTTTTAGATTTATAGAAAAATTGTGAAGACAGTAGAGAGAATTTCCCTGAACCCCATCCTCCATGCTTGTATTTTTAATAAACAGTTGTGTATGGTTGTCAGAAGAGCTAATTAAGCTGTTAGGTGCATCTGTTGAAATTGTTTCCAAAATAAAGGGGATGATAGACCCATTCTATATTGTTCTGGACAGATGGAGCCCAGGGAAATGTGTCTTGGCATTCTAAAAAAGAATGAATGGCAAACCCTGGACACTATTCCCATAAGGAGTGCATGAAGGGACTTGGGATATTTAACTGGATAATAGAAGATTGAAGGGTGTGTGGCAACTGTCTTCATGTATTTCAGAGGGTATAATGTGGAAGCAACAGCTCGCAGAGGCCAGTGGATGGAAGATAATTACTCAGAATATGGAAGTCTTATGTACTGATTACATATTTGAAAGTGACAGGCCTGTTGTGTATGGGCAGAGGGTTCTGGGTTAAATCACAAAAATAATAATAGCAGGGGCTAGTAGTAATACATTCTGAAAAACCAGTGTATCAAAAAGAGAGGGAATACTCCCTTCTCTTAGATCTGCTTCTCCGAGTGCTGACTGTAAGTAGCTTTGTATGTTTTATTTTAGAAAACACATATAGAAACACAGTATTTTTAAAAAATAGAATTGTAGTATTCTTCTTATCTGCAGCTTGTTACTTGTATTTAATAGTGTGTCTTGGGCCTCTGCCTTGATCTTCATTATACTTTATAATGGTCTTAGGATTTTATTGTTGACTATCATGCGTAACTGCCATGTGGTTAGCCTTTCCCATATCAATGAAAGTTTAGAATATATATAACTTTTGTCATAAAAAAACCAGTGTTTTGAGGATTGAACATCCTGGTTCCTGTATCTTGGTATACTTATTCTAAGTATTTCTATAGTATAAAATATTTGAATTTGGACTGCTGATTATGAGGCTTGCATATTTTAGGATTTGATAAATACTGAGAAATAATAATGATGAGAGTGTCCATTTCCCTGCACCTCCACCAACATCGTTAGAAAGCTTTTAATTTTTTCTGATAGGTTAAAAACAGTTCATTTTATTGTATAAATTCTTTGTCAGTGGAGTTTTGCAGCTTTTCATGTGTTTATTTACTGTTTCTTTTTGACCTCTAAAAGTTGTTTTGTGGGCTTTTCTTTCTTTTCTTTTTGTCTCACTGCTGTGTATGCAGTGGCACAATCTTGGCACACTGCAACATCTGCCTCCTGGGTTCAAGCGATTCTCCTGCCCCAGCCTCTGGAGTAGCTGGGATAACAGGTGCCCGTCACCACACCTAGCTAATTTTTGTACTTTTAGTAGAGACCGGGCTTTGCCATGTTGGCCAGGCTGGTCTCGAACTCCTGACCTCAAGTGATCTGGCCACCTCGGCCTCCCGAAGTGCTGGGATTGCAGGCATGAGCCACCGTGCCCGGCCATGTGTTATGTTTTTGCTTTTTCCATAGACATAACATTTTGTCTTTTATGTGTATTACATAGTTTCTTCCAAGATGTCAACGTATAGTTCATTTATGGTCTCTGCTTTTTTCTGGGTTCATATGCTGCTTACAAACAGTTCCCTACACCAAAAACATTAAAATATTTTTTCATATATTCTTTCATAAGTTGCTATTTACATATAGGTGATTAATTATTCCTGCATTAATTTTGTGGTATAGCGACATAGAAGAGTCTACCTTTCGCCCCTCTAATGAGATATTGTCCGAACACAGTATTGCATAAATCTTTTTTCCAAATGTCAGTTTTTATCACTTATCAATTCTCATTGTATTTGAGTCTGTTTTAGATTGTCTCTTATATTGATCTCTTAGTTTATAGGAAAGCTGCTTTATTTTTTTATTTTTTTTCTTTTTTTGGCAACACATTTGTATCTAGCCACATTACCAAACTTTCTTTCTGGTTCTAATAGTTTTTCCATTGATGCCGTGGATTTTCTAGACAGGTTATCATATAATCTACAAATAGTAATAACTTTTTAATATTTATACTTCTCTATTTTCTTGTCTTGTGTTCTGGAAGCTAGAACTTCCAGAACAGCTTTGAATTGCAGTGATAATGGGCTTGCTCTTATTTTGCTTCTGACTCTAAAGTGAAGAATGCCTTTATTGTCTCACTGTTTCATTTACTGTTAGTATATAATAGATAGCCTTTATTTCATTAAGAAAGTTTCCTTGGCCAGGCACGGTGGCTCACACCTGTGATCCCAGCATTTTGGGAGGCCAAGGTGGGCAGATCACGAGGTCAGGATATTGAGGCCATCCTGGCTAACATGGTGAAACCCCATCTCTACTAAAAATACAAAAAATTAGCCAGGCGTGGTGGTGGGCACCTGTAGTCCCAGCTACTCAGGAGGCTGAGGCAGGAGAATGGCGTGAACCCAGGAGGCAGAGGTTGCAGTGAGCCGAGATGGCGCCACTGCACTCCAACCTGGGCAACAGAGTGAGACTCAATTTCAAAATAAATAAATAAATAGGAAAGTTTTCTTTTGGTTTATATAAACCAGGATAATTTTAAAAATTAAAAACAGATGTTGAAAGTGTATAATGTGTGAATTGTAACTCAATAAAGCAGTAAAAAATGAAGGTTAAATGTTTAAAAAATGGCTTTAAAAATATTTGGGGGATTATTATATATTTTTTCTCCTTATTAATAACTACACTTGTTTTTAAAATTGTGGTAAAAATGCTTAACATGTGATCTACCCTCTTAACAATTTTTTAGCTGTATAATACAGTATTGTGGACTCTAAGTATAACATTCTATAGTCGATCTCTGGAACTTACTCATCTGGCTTAACTGAAACTTTAAGCCTGTTGATTAGTAACTCCCTATTTCCCCTCATTCCAGCTCCTGGTGACACCATTCCACTCTTTTGCTCTATGACATTGTCTATTTTAGATACCTCATATAAGTGGAATTGTGCATTATACATCTTGTGGGATTGGCTTATTTCAGTTAGCATAATGCCCTTCAGGTTCATCCATGCTGTCTCACATTGAAGAATTTCCTTCTTTTTTTTTTTAGGCTGAACAATATTCCATTGTTTGTGTATGCTGCGTTTTCATTATTCATCTGTTGATGGACATTTAGTTGGTTTCCACAACTTGATTACTATGAATAGCACTGCAGTGAACATGAGAGTGTTAATATCTCGTTGAGATTTTGATTTCAACTCTTTTGGATAAATACTTAGAAGTGGGATTACTGGATTTTATGGTAGTTCTACTTTTAATTTTTTTAAGTTTTTGTGATGAACCTCCATCCTGTATTCCATAGCAGGTGCACCATTTGCAATTCCACCTGTGCAAGGATTTCAATTTCTCTACATTCTTGCCAACACTAATTATCTTTTGTTTTTTGGATAATGTCTATCCTGACATGTACATTAGAGTTGTAATCTTTCTGCTGGTAGAAGGTCTTGCTTCAATGGTGATAGCTTCTGACTGATCAGGTGGCTGTGGCAATTTCTTAAAATAAGACAACAATGAAGTTTGCCACATTGATTGACTCTTCCTTTCGTGAAAAATTTCTTGGTAGCATACAATGCTGTTTGATAGCATTTTACCCACAGTAGAACTACTTTCAAAATTGGAGTCAGTCCTCTCAAACCCTGCCATGCTTTATCAACCAAGTTTATGTCATATTCTGAATCCTTTGTTTTCATTTCAACAATGTTCACAGCATGTTCACCAGGAGCAGATTCCATCTCAAGAAACCACTCTCTTTGCTTATCTATAAGAAGCAACTCTTCATCCATTCAAGTTTTATCATGAGATTGCAGCAATTCAGTCATGTCTTCAGGCTCCACTTTTAATTCTAGTTCTCTTGTTGTTTCCACCACATCTGCAGTGACTTCCTCTGCTGAAGTCTTGGACCCCTCAGAGTCACCCATGAGGGTTGGAATCATTTTTAATGTTATATGAGAAGAAAGCATTCTAAGAAAATAACATATAAAGTAGCAAATAAGTTGGAATCAACTACTTCCCATCTCTTATTGATGTTAGTATTTTGACCTCCATCCATGAATCACAAATATCCTTAATGGCATCTAGAATGGTGAATCCTTTCCAGAGGTTTAAAATTTACCCAAATCCATCAGAGGAATCACTATCTATGACAGCTATAGCCTTATGAAATATATTTCTTAGATAATAAGACTTGAAAGTTGAAATGACTCGTTGATCCAGACTGCTTTCCTGCAACCTTAATCTCCTTGTCCATCTCTATCAGAACTCTTGGGTGACCAGCTGCATTGTCAATGAGCAATAATACTTTGAAAGGAATCTTTTTTTCTGGGAAGTGGGTCTCAAGAGTGGGTTTAAAATATTCAGTAAATCATGCTATGACAGATGTGCTGTCATCTGGGCTTGTTCCATTTGTAGAGTAGAGGCAGAGTAGATTTAGCATAATTCTGAAAAAAGGCCTCAGGATTTTCAAAGTGGTAAATGAACATTGGCTTCAACTGAAAGTCACCAGCTGCAGTAGTCCATAACAAGGTAATTCTGTTTTGGATTTTTCATAAAACCAGCTTTTGGTTTTATTTATTATATTTATGAAGATTGTTCTCCATTTTATTAATCTCTGCTTATATTTTTATGTCCTTAGTTTTTCTTTTGGCACACTTTTGTTGTTTTTCTGTGTTTAAAGTTCACATCATTTATTATCAATCATGATTGTGTCCTAGTAAATACATTTAAAACTTATAACTTTTTCTCTGAAGAAAATTCACACTGTATCCCATGATGTGTGTAGCATTACCATTAATGTTGATTTCTGTGTAGTCTGTGATTTGAGTTTTGGTCGTTTAATCCAAAATCAATTAGAAGAATGTCTTAAAATGTCTAACTAGTTTTAGGCCAGGTGCAGTGGCTCATGCCTGTAATCCCAGCACTTTGGGAGGCCAAGGTGGGCAGATCATGAGGTCAGGAGATTGAGACCATCCTGGCCAACACAGTGAAATGTCGTCTCTACTAAAAATACAAAAATTAGCCGGGTGTGGTGCATGCACCTGTAGTCCCAGCTGCTTGAGAGGCTGAGGCAGGAGAATCACTGGAACCCAGCAGTCGGAGGTTGCAGTGAGCCAAGATCGCCACTGCGCTCCAGCCTGGCAATGGAGCGAGACGCCGTCTCCAAAATAATAATAATTTTAAAAAATGTCTAACTAGTTTCTTCTGTTGTATATTTTGCCTTTAAAATTAACTTGCTATTTATTGAGATGGATGTTCAGTTTTAGTAAATGCTCTATGAGGATGTTTTAAATGTTCATTTCTAATTTGGGGGAAATTCAAAGTTGCATGTTATATTGTGTTGTTAATGTGCTATTCTAAATGGTCTAGTACACCAACTTATTTTTCTACTTTATCTGTTTTCTTAGAATGCTATCTTCACATACAACATTAAAAATGAATTTTTCAAAATTGTCTTGTAATTTTAATAGTGTTTGCTTTATATAGATAGTGCTGTTGTTCATTGCATGATTATTATAGGATTGTACTTTTGATTATTATAAAGGATATTCTTTGCTTTACTTGGTGGTTTTTGCTGTAAATTTTTCTTTGTAGAAAATTAATATTGCCACATCTGCTTTCTTTTTTATAGATTTGCCTGGTTTACCCGTATTTATGCTTTTTTTTTTTAACATTTTTATGACATTTTGGTGTAGGTATATTTCTCATTGTTAGATTTTTTCTATTCAAATTTCTCTAATACTCATTTTCTAGTTGGTGAATTTAACCCATTTTCATATTAACTGTGATAACTGCTGTGTTTGTACTTCTTCCTGCCATCTGATTTTGTGTTTTCTATTCATCGTGCTTTTCAAAAATTATTTTCTTGATACTTACTGAATTGTTAGCTATATCGCATTTCTATATTTCCTGGTGGTTTTTCTTAAATTATTAGCAAATATATTCATCTTGATATTAAGAATTCATCAGCATCTAAAACCTGTTACCACCAACAATAGTAGCTAACAGTTATTATTTCCTGTGTGTCTGATAGTATTTTAAGCTTCTTACCAGTTAACTCAGTAAATCCTCACAACTACCTTGTGAGAAGGGAGTCAGTTATTCCCATTATTTACAGATGAGGAAACCGGTAAGAAGGTAAGTAATTTTCCAAAAGGCACACAGCTAGTGAGTAATAGAGGCAGAATTCATACTCAGGCTCTGTACTTAGAGACCTGCTTGCTTCAGCACTGACCTGTCAGAATATTTTTACTTGTCCCTGCCTACACACCCTCTCCTTCCAGGTTATGCTGAAATTTGCTTCTAGATTGTTGTCTTAGCTGCTAAGAAGTCTCTAAGCATTTACATTAAAGACACCAGCAATCTTTGGACTTGACTTCAATTTTTACTGATTTATTTTTCCTTGACATGTAGAATTGGCATGCTTTCTGGGTGCTTTCTCACCTGAAAAATGGCTTTATTTTGCCCTCATATCTGATGGATAGATTAGTTAATAGATATTTGTGGGTTTCATTCAACATTTTGTTGACATTGCTTCTTTGTGTTCTAGCATTGAGCATTACGGATGAAAATTCCTATATAGTTTTTCTCTCTGGAAATCTATAACGTTTGGAGGGGTGATGTGTGTGCGTTGTTGTTCTCTTATTCTTTCACTTTAGCCTCTCTTTTTTGAATTTCTGTTACTGCTTTTATCATACTATCTATTTCTTTTCTTTCTGTGTTCTCAGAGAATGTCATCACTGAGTCTTTAATACTGTCAACTTCAGCTGTGTACATGTTGCTCTTCAACCTTCTTTTGAGGCTTTAAATTAGACAAATATATTTTTCTTAGAATTTCTGAAAACTCCTTTTCACTGGAGCTTATTTTAATTATATGGATGCATTATCCTCTTAAACT